ACCGCCCACCCAGGCAGCACCTTATGCCGCGGCGCACGACGAAGCCTTGTGGGACACGCTGCTCCGGTGCCTGGGTGGCTCGCCGCCCGATGGTCTCGCGTATGCGCGGGATGTCGCGGGCCTCCCGGCTGCCATGGGCGGCCTGGGGCTGTGCTCCGCTTCGCGCGTTTCTCCAGCGGCCTATTGGGCGGGGTGGGCAGACGCTCTCACCGTCATACAGACGCGCCGGGCCGGCTTCGCGGAAGCGCGGGTCGCCGAGCTCAGCTCCCCAGCGCACGGGCCAGGTCCGCCTAGCTTGCGGGAGGCGGAGGCGGCCCGAGCACAGTTGCAAGCAGAAGGTTGGGCTACTGTTCCATCTTGGCAGGACTTGCTGGAGGGCGCGCGCCCCCAGCACAACGACCAGGCTGTAGGCCTTGGGGACTGGCCGCACGGCTGGCAGTTTCACGCGTCGCGAATACGCCACTTCCACTTCCGCGACCGCGTGCTCTTGCCGTCCTTGCCGCCGTCTCTGAGGGCGTTACTCCGGTCCCAAGCGGGGCTCAGGCTGGTGCCTGGGACAGCCATCCCGGCTGATGTGTCTACCACATTGTCGCCAGGTTCCATGCAGGTTGCGCTGCGGCGCAGGATGCGGCTCCCGCTGCCCATCGCTCCCAACCGATGCGGGGGTGAGGGGCCCGGCTGCGGAGGCGTCGCTGAGATTCGGGGATCATGCCCTTGCTTGCCCGCGGACTGGTCTGCTCGCTCGGCGCGCGAAGGTTGTCGAGCGGGCCTGGGTGCGGGTCGCGCGCGAGGCTGTGGGCCCAGAAGGTCAGGTGGTGCCGCAGCAGTGGCTCGCCCACACCACGGCCGTGGGAGTCGACGCGCGGGACAGACGCCGCTTGGACCTGGTCATCTACGGTGTTTCCCCGCGGGGGGAGGCACTCTGCTGCGACGCCACGCTTGTGTCGCCGCTGACCGGGCGTCGGAGGAGGACGGAGCGGCCTTGCGGGTGGCTGAGCGCCGGAAACGGGCGACGTACCCTGAGTTACTCGCTCAGGGGCCGCAGCGGCTCCTGGTGCTTGGCTCGGAGATAGGCGGGCGCTGGAATGACGAGGCCTTGGGGCTCGTGCGGGACCTTGCGCGCTGTCGCAGCTTGCGGGCCCCCCCTGCTGTGCGCCGGCCAGCAGCCCAAGGGTGGCAGCGGCGTTGGTGGGCGCAGCTTTCCGTTGCGGTGCAGCAGGCCGTTGGGTCCACGGCCTTGGGCCGCGCATGGCCGGCAGCGCCTCAGGGCCCCGGCCTGCCCGAGCCGCCGCTGGAGCACGTGCTCCGGCTCGCCGCGGATGCGGGCGCGAGCCGCCTGCCCTTGCGCGGCTGAGCTGCTTGCCTCGCACTCGGCGCGGGTGCTGGTCTGTTCCAGCCGGCGTTTCACTTGCGATGGTGTTTCACCGCTTGAGCAGACCCAAAAAGGTGCGTGGACAAAAAAAAAAGAGATTCAAACGTCAAGGAAGTCCTAGTCATTCTCGGCATTGACCCTGTTTTGGACGCAAACGCCCGCAAATTACCGCAAACGCCCAGAAACAGGAAACGCCCGCAAAAAAGGGGCAAACGCCCGCAAAAAACGCAACAAACCGCAAAACGCCTAAAACGCCAAAAACGCCTTGAGAACCAGAACGGCATTGGAATCTCCAGGCGCCTCAACTCCATGACCTGCATGCGCCCCCACAGAGCATGCAACCACACAAAACGCACCGCAAGCAGACCTGCTGGAGATGGAGCCAACAGCTACGAAATGCTGCCCATGCCACGCAAACGTACACCCACATGCAGGAAATGCTGCGCAGGCCACGAAATTTGCAAGCCATCTCCAAAGTGCTGCGCCTGTCACGCAAAACGGGGCCCCCAGCCGCGCGCTCGACAACATCCAATCCCTCCAGACTGCTACAAAATGCTGCCCATGCTACGCAAACGTACACCGAGATGCAGGAAATGCCGCGCCTGCCACGAAATTTGCAAGACATCTCCAAAGTGGTGCCCCTGTGAGTGAGTGAGTGAGTGAGTGAGTGAGTGAGTGAGTGAGTGAGTGAGTGAGTGAGTGAGTGAGTGAGTGAGTGAGTGAGTGAGTGAGTGAGTGAGTGAGTGAGTGAGTGAGTGAGTGAGTGAGTGAGTGAGTGAGTGAGTGAGTGAGCGAGTGGTGAGTGGGTGAGTGGGTGAGTGGGTGAGTGGGTGAGTGGTGAGTGGGTAAGTGGGTGAGTGGGTGAGTGGGTGAGTGGGTGAGTGGGTGAGTGGGTGAGTGGGTGAGTGGGTGAGTGGGTGAGTGGGTGAGTGGGTGAGTGGGTGAGTGGGTGAGTGGGTGAGTGGGTGAGTGGGTGAGTGGGTGAGTGGGTGAGTGGGTGAGTGAGTGGTGTGTGGTGAGTGGTGTGTGGTGTGTGGTGGTGAGTGGAGTGAGTGGAGTGGGTGTGGAGTGTGTGAGTGTGTGAGTGTGCGAGTGTGCGAGTGTGCGAGTGTGCGAGTGTGCGAGTGTGCGAGTGTGCGAGTGTGCGAGTGTGCGAGTGTGCGAGTGTGCGAGTGTGCGAGTGTGCGAGTGTGCGAGTGTGCGAGTGTGCGAGTGTGCGAGTGTGCGAGTGTGCGAGTGTGTGAGTGTGAGTGTGAGAGTGAGTGTGAGTGTGAGTGTGAGAGTGAGTGTGAGTGTGAGTGTGAGTGAGTGTGAGTGTGAGTGTGAGTGTGAGTGTGAGTGAGAGTGAGAGTGAGAGTGAGAGTGAGAGTGAGAGTGAGAGTGAGTGAGTGAGCGAGTCAAGCCACCGCTGTTGTTGAGGACAGCTTGTCCGCACAGCTGCACGCCCAGCTTGATCGCTCTTCAAGGCGCCGGTCGTCCAGGCGGTCGACCGGGAGGTTCATGTCCGCAAGGCGTGAGTTGACCGTGACTCGATTGCCCGCCTCGCGGCAGACCTGAGCGGCCGCTTGCTCGAGAGGGCAGCCGCGGCTCTGACAACCCAGCCCGGGCGCACGCCGCCAAAGGGGTCAAGGCGGCGACGGCACCGGCAAGCGCGATCGGAGATGGGAAGGGGGAGTCGGAGCCGCCGAAGGGCAAGCGTACGGAACAAGTGCGAAGGGACGGACAACTGAGGGGAGACCGCCGGAAGGACAGTGAACAGCTGACCAACGGGCTGGAGCTCAGGTAACGGTCGGCGCCACGTTGGTCTCGCCTCTCTCCTCTTCCGGCGAGCCCCGCAGACACGCAAGGAGCGCACTACCCGGAGCTGCTGCGCTCCCAGCGGTGCCGCCTTGTCGTGCTTGCCATCGAGGTTGGGGGCCGGTGGAGCCCTGAAGCGCGCAGCTTCCTCCGCAGCCTCGCTCGTGCGCGAGCTCGCTCCTTGCCGGCCCTCCTTCAGCCTTCAGTTGAAGCAGGGTTTCGGGAGGCGCGACTCCTGCTGATGCAAAAAGGCGTGTGAGAGAAAAAAACCGGGTCAGGCCTTTGACATTCCAGCGCTTCACTTTTTCTACGCAGCCGCAGGAAAAAATGATTTGATCTGAGAAGCGATTTTTTGGGTGTTTGCTCCACAACTGCCTCAAAACCGAAGTCACTCGGCGGGCAATGGCCCAGCACACATGGCAGCATCCTCGTAAGGATCCCAGGGTCCCAGGGCAGAATGGAGCCACAGGCAAATGAGAATCATTCAATGCTCGATCCAGGATCGCCTGCGCAAGGCTCTGATTCAACTTTTGAGGGCATTTTTTTTTCGAAAAGGCGGCGGCAAACCTTCCACCGGAACAACTTTCAACGCGGAAACCAGGATTTCGTGAGAAATCGGCTGCAACATTTCAGTGTTCCCACAAAGTTGGAAGGTCATAATGCATGAGATGTGTAGGTTTGGGCGAAGGCGCCCCGTACCGGGCTTACTGCGGTAAGCGTGACACCCGGGAGCTGAAACAACAACCTTGTCACACGCACTTTTCAAATACTGGCAGCTTGAACTGGTTGCGCTGCAAAGCTGTGTTTGAACGGACACACCCTGCTGCAGCTTCAGATTGCAAAAAAGCAGCAATCTGGACTAAAAAGTGTCCGACAGTGTTCATCACGCCATGTCAAACTCTTGAAGCCCCACGGCTCACGCATGTCCTGTAACGGGCGGGGTTGGCGAGGAATTGGTCGCCGGTCCTTGCTTCGGCCACGTGGGCATGTTTGAGCAATGCACATCGTGTCCATTCGCGTGGCCAAGCCTGGCAGGGCGTCTGTATCGATGATGAAGTTGTTATTCTTGCTCATGCGCACTATGCGTTGACCCGCTTCGCCAGACCAGTCCAAAGGAGGCTAGTCCTTCACTTGTTCTGTGGAAATCGCAGGTTTGGAAAGGTTCCGTCACACTTTGGTGCGCTAGATCAACAACAAGACACCCTTCTCGAGTGCTGCACGCGTTCCATTCAACCGTTTATAACCCACAAATCAGATCTTTTTCCTACGGTGGATCCGGGATGCGCCGCATCGAGGCACAAGCTTGCCCTGTTGAGTTGGAGGTGGGGTTCTTCGTCGGTCACGGCCAACGCGGTGTTTGAAGACTCGCTTTTGCGGACTTTCTTGGCGTGGCTGGCCTTTTCGACCCGGTCCTGCCGCGCCTTCGCGCCCTCAGGGCTTGCGTGGACTCCCTCCAGCTGGCGGGCGCCGACTTTGGAGGACTTTCCACTTTCGTTCGCGGATGCCAGTGAAGTGGGGCGGTCACCACTTTGGCATCCCCATGTCCAGCTTGGGACGCTGCCGCTGGTTGGTGTTGGCTGTGGAAAGGGGGAAGCAAAGCGACGACAAGGCAGCCTCTTTTGTGCGCGTTTCGCGCGAGCCAAAACGCTTGCGAGCATGGTCGCTGCGCTTACCTTCGCCCAGAAGGATGTGTGCTTTGGCGAGGTGGGCGCACCTTGTGCATGCAAAAGGCCGATGCGCAAGAGTTGGATGTTGATAGCACCAAAATTGGTATGTGTCAGAAGGGGCTCCCTCCAAACATGTGCTTTTCGCTCCTGCATTCTGATATCAGGCTCCGTGTTTGTGGTCCAAGTGTTTTGCTCCGTGAGGTGCCGCCGGCTCAAGCGTTTCGAAACCTGCACGTCCCAAAGGTCGAGGCTGATGACTGGGAACGGCGAGCTCAAGAATGTTCCGACGATCAAGGCAAACGGGCGGGCAAGGTGGTTCGGGCATGCTTTAAGTGGTAACATTTTTGCTTATTTAATTGGACCCTTCAAGATTGTGGATTTCCCATTGTTTTCCCTTTAAAACCATAAAATAAGGCGTACCGACCGAAGAAGACAGGACGCATAAGGACCACACTCCCGCCCCAACTCCACTTCGCGCTTGTTGAGCCCTAGGCCGCATTTGTTTTTGGGGGGGTCGGATTGAACAATGGGGGTGGGGGCCCCTTCAAATGTGCAGATATGTGCAGACATGTGCATATTTTCTCACTGAACCGAGGGACGCCGGGCCCTATGAATAAACTGGTGGTTGATTTCTTCATCCGGGTTCTGATTGAACAATTGCCATCCCACCAACTAACATGGAACCTAATGTTCGGGACCCGGTTCCTTCACAAAATAGTCCAAACCAGAACCCCCTGCGAGGTTCCATGTCAATTGGTGGGAGGTTAACCTTTGCTTGGGGCTTTGGATCGGTTTGGATTTGGGTTTGACCCTCCTGGTTCTTGTAGAGGGTAAATGGGAAACCACCCACAAAACCATTATTTTTATTGGACACTTGGTGGTCGTTTATTCTCCCATTTGGAGCCTGGTTGTGACTCCCCATTTAATGTTTAGAGACCCGGTTCCCCCCCTCCCCCCGGAAAAGAATATGTAATATGGTATGATACTATATTGCAATCTATAGTATCATGCAAAATCATTTTATTATACTGGTAAACTATATATAATTATATATAATTATATATATATATAATTTATATTTATATAAATCCACAGTTTGGGTGTGGGCTTGGAGTTGAGGCTTACAAGAACCACGAGTACCTGGGCTCCCCGACCTCCAGGCACATCAGGATCATGCGGCTCGGATCCAGCGAATTTTTTCGCTAGGGGCCCCGGATTTGGCGCAGGGCGCTCGGCTTTTTTCGCTGGGGTTTTCCCAAGGGGAGAAAAGGGGGGGGTATCTCTCACATCATGAGCTCCACAAACAGAATAGCAAAAATTTCCCATGGAAATGGGAAAAATGAATGGGAGGGGGGTACCCTCAACAGCTGAAAGAGCCATGCGTCCATGAAGGTTCTTGGCGATTTCCTCATGGATACTGTGGATGGCCGAAATCCTGCACCACGTTGAAGCGGGAAAACATGGTTTGTCGGTATTTACGGGGAAACGTCATTCCAGGGTTTCTTAGGTGGAGCACGGTTTCGTCCCCTCATTTATCCGGCTTAGCGATGCTCACTTCGGGGTGTATCCCGTAGAGAAGCGAGTTTGCAGGGTGGGCATCAATCATGTCTTGTTTCGGCTGGCGGCCCAAGAAGGGTTCCAATTGCAACACGGCAGCCATGTTTTCCCCCCCCCCCCCGCCCACATGGCTTCAGGTTTTCCTCTTGGTTTCCCTTCAAAAGCCACCAACAAAGGGGTACCCCCGAAACAGACAGACCCATATTCGTGAGGTTTGTTTTGGTCGATCCCTTGTGTTCGGTGTGTGTTTGTTGAGTGTACCCTTGTCCAAACATACCTGCTTTTGTTTTTTGTTTTCTGGGGGGACCGATCCAGGGCTATTCAGGGCTGCCTCTACTTTCAACGCACGCACACCCTCGGTGGTTTTGGGATCCCAAGAGAAGCCGCGCGCAACTCCGAAGCGCGAGGTGTGAGCTCTATGAGCCAATGCACCGCCTGGACAAGCACAACATCGACAACTACTTCATCATAGCAGCTGGGCTAAAAAGCCCTGAATTGCTGGTTTGGGGATTTGAATCCCTGATTCTTGTAGGGGGTAAATGGGAATTGGTGGTTTGGATTGGTTTGGATGTGGATTTGAACTCCCGATTCTTGTAGGGGGTAAATGGGAAACAACCCCCCTAACCGGGGGGGGGGGGGGGTAGTGGACACAGTCTTGGACAGGATTTCCGGGTGGGTATTTCTCGGTGTATCATGTACTTCCTTTATGGCACGGGTTCAAAGGAACTCAAAGGAACCCCGGTTCCGAACTTAAATCAAGCGTCAGGAGGGTTTAGAGCTGGGTGGACCTCTTTGGAACCAGGTTCAAACATCACCTTTCTGACTTGCGAGGTGCATGCTTTATGAATTTGGCTCGCTCCCCAACTTGGAAACTGTTTGGGAAGGCCACTTTTAGTTGCAACCATGCAACGACAAGGCTCCGACTTTTTTTGTCGGTGAGCCTACTCGATCGGAAGTGAGTTGGGGATGCTGTGGACATCAGCATTGGTGGGACCAAATCCGCTTCGCACCAGGCGGTAGGACATTGGCCCCATGGATCCATGAAAAGCATGTAAAGGTTGACAGGTTGCGGTTGCTTCTTTCCTGATACCTCTAGACTAGGATCAGTTCAAAGGGAGTAACTACACTTAGCAGATACCAACAAGAAAGGCCCTGCATTGACACATAAATGCCATACAGTACGTTACACCTTACCTTGCTTTACCTTACCTTATTTCACATTACATTACATGACACGTTGCAATACAGTACATTACATCATGCATTTCGCTGCAGCACATTCCACAATGCATTGCATTGCACTACATTTCATCGCACTGCATGACATTATGTATATGTATATATATATATATATGCATGTATTCCATTGAATCGCATTACATTGCATTAAAGTATGCTACACTACATTACACACATTACATGCATTACATACATCACATACATTGCATACGCTACACACGTTGCACACGTTGCATACTTTACACACCTTATACACTTTAGAGATATCCATTTGTGCGTACTTACATACACACATGCATACCTGCATGCATGCACACATGCGTACATGCACACATACGTACGTGTACGTACGCACTTGCCTTCCAGCCATCCATCCATCCATCCATGCATCCATCCATCCATCCATGCATGCATCCATCCATCCATCCATGCATCCATCCATCCATCCATCCATCCATCCATCCATCCATCCATCCATCCATCCATCCATCCATCCATCCATCCATTCGTGCCATGCCATGCCATGCCATGCCATGCCATGCCATGCCATGCCATGCCATGCCATGCCATGCCATGCCATGCCATGCATGCCATGCATGCCATGCATAGGTACGTCCATACACACACACATATATATATATATATGCATGCATGCCTGTACACGTAGATTCCGTGCAACAAATCGTTCGCCTTCATCCGGACCAGGTCCGAGTCTCTTACATGCCCAGGTCGGCTCGCACTTGGTCATGCAGCCGGAGGCAAAGATGTGGATGACCCATTTCGTTTCATGCCAATTTTGGTTGGTTTGGTTTGGTTTCGGTATTTTTTTAGTTGGTGGTTTGGATTGGATTGGATTGGTTTGGATTTGGATTTGAATCCCTCCCTGGTTTTGGTAGAGTCTAAATGGGACACCACCCCCGAACCACCAAACTACCAATCCAAACCACCAAGTAGTGGGAAGCTGATGGTTTGGTGTTGTCGGTTTGTTGTTGGACGGCTGGGCCAGGAATCCATTCCATGTCCAAAATCAGAAAGCAGAGCAAGCCTGGTCTGTTAAACCTGCTACTGGGCTCCGCCGGGAAACGATGAAAGGGTGTCAGAATGGTATATCCATACTGCCCTTTGGTTTGCAGGGGGTCCAGGAGGCGCGGGTTTGAAATGGAGGCAGGCGTGGATCAGGCTTGGCCAAGCCATTGAGAACAGCTCAAGAGCCCTTGACGGTTCCCCCTTTCATCCACGAAAGAAAATAGTTTTTAATACCCCAGGCCACTTGAGAAAATGGGAAGTGCACCATGTGCTCCAAACATCTGCTTTCAGGCTGGTGGGGGTGTCTTTTTCTAGGAGACAGCCGGATTGCGAGTAAACCAACACCCAACCTCAAAACCATGGAAACAAGCACTGTGAATTGGTGGGGGGGGGGGGGACTTGTCCTTGTTCCCGTGCTTGACATACGGCAGGGGACAAAAGATGCATCCATTTTTTTTTCGGAAGGTGTAAACACCGTGTCTACTGTGTTTTTTCCCCTTTTTTCCCCTCGCGAGTGGGGTGCTTTTGGCTCTGGGAGGACAGGGCCAAGCACATTGCCGGCCTAGAGCAGCAAATCAAGAAGCAGAGCTCGGAGGAGGAGGCGCTCAAGAAACAAAACAAAATAAACAGATCAACTACAAAACACAGAACACCTTTTTGGCTCGGTTCCACCGGGATGAATTGCCATAACGTGCTCTTCATGGCGTACCAGCTGCATTCTTTAGGGTTTGTTTAGGGTGGTTTAGCTCACGTGTTTCTTCTTGGGTGGGGTCGGGGTGTGGATTCTGAACAGGCGGAGTTTGCTGTTTGGTGAAACAAATTGGAAAAATCGGTTTGAGGGGTTTGCAGTGAGGCCTATGCCAGGTCACCCTTAGTTGGTGGTTTGGATTGGTGCTTTGGGTTTGGATTTGAACGGGTCCCTGGCTTTTGAAGAGGGTTTGGGACGCCTCTCCGGACCGAACGACCTGGCTCCAGGAGAGGCGAACTATGAGCAGTGCCCAAATCCATATTTTGTTTGCCATGCTAGTAGTTCACTTCAAGGGGTGTGCGGTGAGGCCTAGATAGTAACTCACATCTTCTGGTTTCAGGTGGAGGCTTTGCAGGGGAAGCTCCGCTTTGCCAAGAAGCTGCAGACCATGGACAAGTACTATGTGCGCCTTGGCCCCTTTTGAAGCCGCTGACCCCCGGACCAACCCCCCACTCTCCCCCGCAAAAAAAACACGCACACAAACAAACATGACAGTTAGACCTTTTTGGCCATATGCAAGTTGCTGTTTCCCTTTTTCGTCTCTTGTGCAAAGGGGAATGATTGCCAAGACCTTTGTCGTCAACGTGTCGAAACGTCAAAATAGTTAAGCGCGGAGGTCCTTAAATTCATGTGGTTGTTAGCATCACCATGTTTTCTATGTTTAGTGAAAGGGGACTCATGGTTGTGAATGTTGGCGAGGCACCCCTCAACATTTTTTGCCCACATCCCCACCTAAACATGTCCACCAAATTATGAGACCAGATGACCACAGGTTGTAGTCCATCTATTTACCAGGGTTCCGTGTTGGGTATTCCTCTTTGGGTATGAGATGAAAAAAAAAAACACCAGGTGACCGCAGGATTTTTGGTCCATGGTTCCATTTACCCAGGGTTCCATATCAAGAATCCGTACCCAAAATGGAACCATTGTAAATGGAACCAAAGACTAAACCCTGCGGTCCATATCCTGGTGGTTTTATTTTGGCCCACAGCCATCAGCCGCTGGCGCCGCTTACATTTTTTTTCGAGCCCAGGATGGCGGCGGAGTTGGGCAAGAAGCTGGGTCAGTGGAACAAGGAGCGCGCCGCGAACGGCAAGCCGCCGGGAGCTCAACCTCCGGTGCTACCACCGTTGGTAGGTGGGGTATGCCCGGGTTTGCACGGGCTTTATGGGGGTTCCTCCAAGTGCATGGTTTCGTCCACCAACAGGACATTGCTGGCTCTTGGTCTTACTTTTAAGACTTCGCGCGTCCACCACACAAAAAAGGACCATGACGAAAAATCACCCAAAAAGGGGCGGCTCCGTTTGGTCGCCCTTGACAAAGTTCCCGGGATGGGCAGACCCGAGCCAGAGGCCACCCAGTAGTGAGCATAGTGAAGGCGACTAGGATGCTCTGTGCGCCAGCAACCGACTCAATTGGGAGAAGTTTGAGTCAGAGCGTGTGTAGGGCCCGGAACTCTGCCTTGCAGCTTTTCCTTTTTGCTTGCTCCCCTTCAGGGTTGATGCAGCTGGCCCAGTTTCAGATGGGGCTGGGAGGCTGGAAGGCCACAGTTTTGGTTTCTGTCCACAGGCGAAGCGGGCGAAACATGTTTTTTTTCCCCCCGAGGCCGCCGCTTTGTTTTCCTCCTCCAAAATTTAGAAGTTTTTTGGAGTGGGCCCTCAAACCCCCATCCCCTCTAAAACTGGACAATTTCCCCCCCTTTTTTTTTCTTTCTCCGGGAGGTTTCTCAGACCTTTGTGGTGCCTGAGGCGCCCGAATGATAAGCCCTGTAACAAGAAGCAGGCCAAATGGCCGTGGCTCAAAAAACCGGTGCCAAAATGGAAACCTGGCAAGTGGAAACATGGACCAAAACCTGCGTAACCCCTCCTGTTTAATTTTGACAAGCCACACCCAAATGATCACAAATGGGTTCCTCAGTTGACCAAGTCGAACTTGTATCAAGTATCAAGTGGCGCTTTTTCAAGGCGGCGGGTTTCTGGTTCCTCTCGAAAAGAAAAACCCTTTGTGGGTAAGCCTCAAAAAACCGCCCCAAACCCTAAGTCCAAAAGCAACTTTAGAAGCCCCAAGCCTTCCACCTGTTGGCCCCTCCCCGCAAACAACCAACCGACCAAACAACCCAAACAAAACTCAACCAACCACAAGAAGCCCCAAAAAGCCTTTTCCGGCCACCTCTTGGCTCTTCGCCCTTCTTTGTTTTTTGGGGGTTCCTTTCCCCGCCGCAGACCGCAAACACCGCCCCTCCCGTTTTTCCAGGCCCCGTGGCGTTTTTTTTTTTTTTTTCTCGGTTGAGGTCCTACCACGTGAGCACGGGGGGCGGCCCGGGCATCATGGAGGCCGCCAACCGCGGGGCCCACGAGGCAGGGGACACCACGCTGGGCTTCGGCGCCTCGCGCCCCGAGCCCGGGGCCCCAGCGGGCGGCGGGGCGGCGGAGCGGCGCGTTTTTTTTTTGGGTGGGGACGGGTTCCCTTTGCGTTACGTAAAGGGGTAACTGAGGAAGAAGAAGAAGAAGGAGAAGAAGGAGAAGAAGAAGGAGAAGAAGAAGGAGAAGAAGAAGGAGAAGAAGAAGGAGAAGAAGAAGGAGAAGAAGAAGGAGAAGAAGAAGGAGAAGAAGAAGAAGAAGAAGAAGAAGAAGAAGAAGAAGAAGAAGAAGAAGAAGAAGAAGAAGAAAACCAGAAACATTATATATATATATAGACAGGGAGATAAAGAGACAGGGGCTGCAGGCATACGGGCATGAACGCACACATTGACATGCACGTACATATGCGTCGTGTTTTTTTGCATGCATGGCTGACGCGTATGCTTATGTTTCAATTGAAACGATTCCGCATGACTTTCCGGTGAAGCCATTGCCTTACACAGAAACCAGCAAAGTCTATTTTTGGTGCACCAGGGAATGTGCCGAGACATCTTCCAAAAGCCCCCGATGAGTGTGGCAAACATGTCGCACATGTGCAAAGCCCCTGAGAAACAGATGGTTTCATGGCAGATCGGTTGCAAGAGACAAGCAAATCGACCACTTTTTGGGCGAGCAATCTCGCTTGATAACGCACCCTTCAGAAGCCTGAAGCCCGTGTGGCACCGAACTCTTAAGCATGGACAAAAGGAATATTCGTGAACATATCTGAATCCTTCTTCCAACCAGGCTTGATCCCACATTTTCTTATGTCATGCTTGTTTGCCTTGAGCGCACAGATGATGCATCTACCATGAGACCGTGCTGTGAACAACCAACTTGTGAACGCACGTTTTCAGCACACCGATTTTTTTTGACCAGTCAAAGTGCCAACTAGACTTGTTGCCGTCCATTTTCTACTTGACAGGCTAGTTCGACTAGCACTTTCCGCCAACGCACCTACGACTAGCGCTGACCAGGCCAAGCTTTCTGTGTGAAAAGCGCATGCAGCTGACACTCACTCCTCCAAAGCCTGCGCGCCCGACACTTTGCTTGCTTTGATCTTTGGATATTGCTCCTTCGAGGGGGCTCGGTCAGCATACCCTGTTTAGGGGCGGCCGGGGGGGGGGGGTGTCGGGGGTGTTAGAGTCCCCGTTGCGACGCTCTGCGCCGCTCCAGTGAACCAATCATCTTCGCCAAAGGCCCTCTTGGACCAGATTGCAGGAGTATTTGAATACATACGCGCACACATCACATATACCTGTTATATATATATGCTCACCCCCCCCTGCATGACCTACCTTTTTAGCTAAAAAAAGCAGGATCTCATCTATCATTTGCCCCTCCCTTCATCGCTATTGGTGGGGCACAGCACTTGGTTTTCATTGCACACGCGAGCAAGACACAAAACTAATTATCTTCAATGCTTATTGATTGAAGCAATGGAAAACCTGTTCCATTATGTTATTCACCGCCACTCATAACACAATGATGTTCCATTTAATATTAATGACAAGTGAATTTTTAAATATAATTTTCTATATGTCTTTAATATCAACTATGACAGATGTCCCAATAATAAAACCAATAAACATAACTGAATATGAATTCAAACAATCCAAATATGAGCACGTGCTAAAATTACCATTTAGAAGTATTATAGTTGCTTCATCGACGGGAGGCAAAACAGTTTTAGTCCAAAACCTTATCTTGAATGTTTATAGAAATTCATTTGCAAGAATATTTATATTTTCCCCCAGCGTTCATAATGACCCAACTTTTACAGAAGTTAACAAAATACATCAGGGATGAATTGCACGTGGATGATGAATAAGAACAAAATTATTTTGATAATTATAATCCAAGTGATTTAGAAAATGTAATTGAAAGACAGAAGAAAATAATTAATTATATGAAGTCTAATAAGATAAAGAAACTACATTCAATATTAATCGTTATAGATGACCACGCATTCAATATTAATCGTTGTAGATGACCACGCAGACGATCCTAAATTTGTTAGATATAGTAAATTATTACACGGACTTTTTACAAGAGGCAGGCACGATGCAGTAAGTGTAATTTGTTCAACACAAAAATATAATGTGTTAGTGCCTATCATTCGTTTAAATGCCAGTTCATTATATATTTTTAGGTTGAAAAATGCAAGTGAGTCAATGAGTTTTATTGAAGAAAATAGCGCCATTGTTGATAAACAGCAATTATTAGATATGTATCATCAAGCCGTTAATGACGCACCTTATAGTTTCTTCTACGTGAATATGAATGCTAAAGACATTAACAAAATGTTTCATATCAGATTTGAACAGGCATTTCAAATTACGAAGGATGAATAAAGATATTCTAATTTAATATAATATAGTAATATGCCAATGAAACTATGTAGATGTGGTGGATTTTGTTCGTAGAGGTAATTGTAATTTTCATACTAATTCTTGGATACATAAACTTTATAAAGTATTGAAAAGAAGGGCAACAGACGAGGAATTATTAAGATTTCAAAATAATTTTGTTGATGAAGAAGATTTAATAGATGATATAAGTAGTACTACTTCAACAACAATACCAGAGGATAACATGACAGATTATGATAGCAATTAATAATATTATTACATGTTAATATTATTAATTTAAATTAACGAAGCATTGCAAAATTGTAAGGCAGGAAGTTTATATATTAATTTGTCAGATGTGTCTTTCTCTAGTTTCTCAATTCGTGTCACACATTCTTGAAGAGATTTAATAATAAAAGTGTCTGCTCGTGTTTTTTCATCTATACTTAAATTATTAATGTCTTCCAAACTATTATTTTCATTATTTTTACTTTTACCAATACCCATTATATATGATATTATTAAGATTTTAATTGTTCAAAATTATCTTTTTGTGGTTCTTCTTCTTCGTCTTCAGTTGGTGCTGGTATTTCTGTTGTTTTAGATGTCTGGCCCACGACAAAATCTTGGATTCTTGGTTTTCTCGAGGTTTTCTTGGTTTTCCTTGTTTTACTTGGGAATTCTTGGTTTTTTGCCGGGAAAAAAAAAACCCTAGTAAATCTTTGTTTTTTGCTGGAAATCCAAAAAAAACATAGTAATTCTTGGTTTTTTGCTGGAAATCCAAGAATTCCCAAGTAAAATCAAGAAAACCAAGAAAACCTCGACAAAACCAAGAATCCAAGAATCCAAGATTTTCATGTAGATGTCTGGCCCACGACAAAATCTTGGATTCTTGGTTTTCTCGAGGTTTTCTTGGTTTTCCTTGTTTTACTTGGGAATTCTTGGTTTTTTGCCGGAAATCAATAAAAACCCTAGTAAATCTTGGTTTTTTGCTGGAAATCCAAAAAAACCCTAGTAATTCTTGGTTTTTTGCTGGAAATCCAAACAAACCCTAGTAATTCTTGGTTTTTTGCTGGAAATCCAAAAAAACCCTAGTAATTCTTGGTTTTTGCTGGAAATCCAAAAAAACTCAGTAATTCTTGTTTTTTTGCTGGAAATCCAAGAACTCCCAAGTAAAACCAAGAAAACCAAGAAAACCTCGAGAAAACCAAGAATCCAAGATTTTGTAGTGGACCAAGCATCTACCTGAAAATCTTGGATTCTTGGATTCTTGGTTTTCTCGAGGTTTTCTTGGTTTTATGTGAAAAATGCTGAAAAACCCAAGGAATTCTGAAGGTTTTACTGCAAAACCATCAAAAACCCAGGGAATTCTTAGTTTTTGACTTAGGGATCTATCTGAAAAACATCTCAGTTTTTACACTTGTTTTTTTGATTGCTTTCCCGTTTTTCTAAAAAAACCATGGGTGTTTGCACATTGTTTTGCTAAAACCATCAAAACACACTGTTTTTCTTAATTTTTCAATGGTTGACTGTGTTGTTTTTTAATCGAAAACCATAAAAAACAGGTGTTTTTTTCACTTTTTTATTGTCTGCTAATGGTCCCCAACGACTTTTTGAAAGACAACGGTAGGTCATGCAGGGGGGGGTGACCATATATATATATACCTGTTTATATGCACACATTCGCTTGTATGAATATATGCATATTCTTTATCCAGTTCATCTATCTATGTATCCGTCTATTTGCCTGCCTGCCTGCCTGCCTGCCTGCCTGTCTGTCTGTCTGTTTGTTTGTTTGTTTGTCTGTCTATCTGTCAGCCTGTCTATCTGTATGAACTATCTATTCATCTATCTATCTAATTAATCTAATCCAACCGAATCCAATCTAATCTAATCTAATTTCATCTATTTGTCTGAATCTAGCGTCTCATCTACCTATTATATGCATGCATCCATTGTGCAACTCAGATGTGTCATTTCCACGTTTGAATGTTGACAAGTTGCCCAGGATTCCTCAGAAAGCGGTTTCGAATGGAGCTATTGCTTACTCCATGTGTAAACGCTGCACTGTTTGCATTGCACGTGGAAATTCTCGGCACTTTTGTGGCAGCTTCATGTGTCCGGTTTGGGTAGCCTGTAGCAGTTTATTTTTGCCTTTGCGGCCGACATTTTTGGGGCTTTCAGTCCCATCAGTCCCTCATAAGCACCGTTGATGCCGCAGGATTTGGGTCAGACGGATCGGGTCATGCGTGAATTTCCTGAACCGCAAGTCTCGAATCCTGCTTAACCGCATGCCTGATTCGCACATCTGCCTGCTCCAAGGTGGGGATCTTTGAACAAGACGCTTTGCCAGCACTGGATCGCTTGCACACATTTGGGAAGGCTATCTTGGTGTCTCCTCTTTGGGACCCTTGTTTCGGCCGCCGAAAAGGGGGCCGAACCCCCCGTGATTTTTTTCGAGAATCCCGCGGTGCGATCTCGAACCGGCCATTTGGTGTTGGTAACCACCGCCTTTCCGCTTGAGCCGGCGAGGCACGTCTTCCGCCCTGGAACCCTTGTGGTGGTTTTTCACGCGTGCTGAAACGTCCGCTAAGCCACCGCTGGCTCGAGCCAGCCGGGAGCTCTTTTTCGATCGCCAGGTTCGTCTCGGAGGAGGGCGCCTTTGAGTTCCACTACTTCTTCATGCGGAAGTTCTGGATGGCCTACAAGTGCATGGGCCTGGTAGTTCTGCCAGGAGGCAGGCAGGCCTCGGCAGCTTCTCTCTTTTTTCTTCTTGGCCAGATCCATGGGAAGAGTGCCTCTTCGGCTTCTTTTTTTCCTCAGCCAGATCCATGGGAAAGTGCCTCTTCGGCAGAGGGGGCAGGCAGCTTCTGCAGGCTTCTGTCCATTCTTTCGCTTGCCAGTGGATCGATCCATGGGAGAAGTGCCGACGAGGGGCACGGCCAGGCTTTGGATCCTTAGATGAGCTGTTTGAAATGCTGGTGCTTCTGCAGACCAAGCCCCTTGGACATGCAGCCTTTCCTTTTGGAACAGGCCCTGGAGTACCCTTCTTTGGGCCAAGGGGGGAGGGTGTGTGTGTGTGTGTGTGTGTGTGTGTGGGTTTGAGGAAGATCTCGCACCCGATGCCGATCATCCTTCTGGGCGAAGAGCATTGGAAGAAGGCGATCAACTTCGACTATATGCTGGAGTGCGGCATGCGGGGAGCCAAGGTCCTTGAAAAACTTCAAGTGCGAAGCGCTCGCAGTTGCCCTGTTTGATCTTGAGCCAGGTGGTGTTTTGTTGTTGTCAGGCACCATCTCTCATTGATGGCTTGGGGATTTGAACCTTTAGAGAGTAAATACGTAAATACCACCGATTTGCCTCTTGGGGGTTGGGGGAGCTGATTCTAGGCTCACCCAGTCGCACCTGGACATGCTGGTGTTCAAGAACTCAGCAGAGGACCACACGCCTCTTGAAGTGCACCTTGCTCGCTTGAAGTTCTCGCGCCAGGACGCGTTCCAGTACCTGGTCGAGAATGTCCGCAGGGCGGAGGAAAGCGGTGAGACTGAGCAGGCCGGGGGCAATTTGTGCAAGTGGCAAATTTGTTAAAAAGGGATAGCCGAGATCGACGCCAATAATCCAATAAAACGAGCCTACATTTTCGCTTTGCGAATCAGTGGTAAATGTGACGGCCTACAGGTCGAGACTGCCAAGCGCAGACGGCTGGACACCCACTCCAGTACTCCATCCAAGAAAGCGCGGTGATCGAAATCTTTTGCCCGGGGCCCAAACTCGCAAACCGAAAGCAGAAAAAGCTTGGGGTACAGTTGGGTGAAAGTGGATGGCGCATTTCCAAGCCACGGAAAAATGGAATGCCCTTGCCGTTTCATATCCATTTTGGAGAAATGTCATTCCCTTACCCACACAGGAATCCTCGTCAAGCGCATGCCCAAGACCTTGCCTTGCTTGCCCGTTGGTTTCTGGAGCGAATGGAACTCACCAGTTAATTGATCAACGTTTGAAGGGGAATCGGCGAGTTCATTGGAACACAGGGGAATATAAGGCTCAGCTACCATATTTCTTATTTGGGGTTTGGTCTGCGGGTTGGTGGAAGTCTTTGAGAAGACCACCGATTTGGGTCCACCCCCGGTCATGGAGCTTCCGTTCCGTGTCTGAGGTTAGCCTTCGATTCGATGGGTTTCACATCGGCCTTTGAACGCCTTCCGTGCGAGGTCTCACCAGGCTACGCGAGCTAGGCGAATCGCATCGCGTGCTTGTTATCTTGTTTGGCTTTAATAGCTCCTCTTGCTCGAGCTCGGGGGTGGTGACTCTGACATCTTTTGTTCACTCCCACTGGGCCCAAGGTCTCTATCAAACTCATTTGGATCCACCTTTGTTGCTCGACTTTCGCGCGCGCAAGATGGATTGTGCCGATCTGCCTGGAGGGTGCAGGAAAATCTTCTGGAATGTCTCCCCCCCTCTCTCTCTCTCTCTGTCTCTCTCTCTCTCTCTCTGTCTCTCTCTCTCTCTCTCTCTCTCTCTCTCTCTCTCTCTCTCTCTCTCTCTCTCTCTCTCTCTCTCTCTTGCGCTCTGATTTCTGTGCTCTTTTGCCCGGCACATGGATTGCATTCATTAGCTTAAGTGGGAACCCAAGCTACTTCACAAGGGTGTGTGTCCTATTTGGGCATTTCGAACCCCTTCGGATCTGCCGCGCCCTTGAAATCAACATGGTTTTTGGACAGGAACCCTTGAAAGGGGTTCGGGAAGCCAAACCCCGACTTTGGGAAGGGTTTCTTGTCTCTCGAATCGGGAGACAAAAGCGCATGTGCGTGACTTGCGGACTTGCAGCGTGGGAGGGTGGCTCAAACGGCCGTTTCTTTTTCCTCTCTCGGCCAGGCAGGAAACAAGTCTTTGCCGACTTTTTTTCCAGTTCTGGATGACATACCTGATTTTCAGTGTCATGCTCGGCCCCCGCTCAAATGCCAGGGCCACCCAGGCCACATCTTCAACAAAAACAACCCACACACACCAAGGGGCCGCGGCCTTTTGCAACCGGGGATCTCGATCCCGGATCGATCCGTTTTGCTTCCCGAAACCCCACGGTCGTCTGCGCTGCTGAAGCCCCGTCCGCAATGCGGCGGTTTCAAGAGCCCGATGCTGCCGGGGCGCCCAGAGAGGGAGCAGGCGAGATGCATATCCCGTGGAACAAGGAGAAAACTGGCGAGCACCGCGAGGTACATCATAGCTAGAGTAAGAATGAAAGTGGGAGAAAAGCGACGAACCCCCATTTTTTAGGCAGTGTTGTGTCCTGCAAAGACGCCGCCAGCTTTTCAAGCTGACGTTGGAGGTGTGTGGGTTCGAAACCGAAAACATCGAGGGACGACGTTTGGAGTTGGCAGTCAAGTTAGGCGCGCCCAACGTGGGATTGTCTCTAGAACCCGCAGAATGGGTGGTTTCCATTTGGATTCCCTTTTCAACCACCTCAAACAGGGGTAAGACGCCGAAGTGCATCGAATGTTGGCCTTGGCTTCTCCCGTGACCTTCGAGCTTGGGCGGTTTCGTTTCCGAGTCGCTTAGTCCGAGGTTCGGACTTGGGCGGGGCGGGCGTACACCGACGAGGAGCTGTCCCGGAGATTTGAAAGCCAGAGCTCAGGCGCAAGGGAAAGGTGCGGACTTGAACAGAACTCAGAACACCTTTTTTCCGGGGTTTCCGAGGGGGAAGGCACTCCAGCGACCCATATTTTTCGGGGGTTTCCTGCGTGAAGGCTGGTTCACCGACGGATTCGGTGGGGAGCTTCCAGTGAAGGATCGATCCCTGGCAGGCACAGCTCATGGCATTCGCAGGTGCGTCCGAGGGGCTGATGGATGAGGAGACGGCCAGGCGGCTGGTGGCGCGGGAACGCTGCGCGCCCAGAGTTTGTGGTTGGAGGGGGGTGGGGTGGGTCGGTGTGGCGAGTGCGTACATAAGGGCGCACGAGGGCCTTGGTAAAGAAGGCTCTTAGGATGTCTTGGCGCACGTCTTCCTTTATTCCATGTTCGTTTTTTGGCACGCCGTATCCGTTACTGGACCCCGATTCCAGATTTCGACCCTCGGCCCCGTCGGCCCCGAGCCATCGAGACGAGGCAGCCCTGACCTCATGGACGAGGAGACGGTGAAACGCCCGGGGCCCGGAGGTTCCGAGCATAGAACCCTTCGATCAGAACTAAGAAAAGGGTCGCACAGTGGCTGCTTCTCTCTGGGCTTTCTGGTGCCTTTTCAGCACGCAGTTTGGAGTCTGAGAATTTCATGGTGTTGCAACTGTAGTAGGGCCAGCCCTTCTTGCTTGCCCTTTTTCTTTGCTTGTAACAATGTTGGGTCTAGATCCCCAGAGGGTGCGACCACCCTTGGAAAAATCACGCATGCTAGTATATCGCATGTAAGTTCCGCGCGTTTCACACAATTTGTAGATGAAGTTCTCTACATCAGTTTGGGTAGGCCCTTTTAGCACCAGGCTTCAGGCAAGTTTTCGTTGGCGGGATTGGTGGGTACATGGGGTTTCGCCCCCCGGAGCGAGCCAGCGAGCCACCGAGCCCACCGTGTCGATCGCTGTGAGGGAAGCTGGCTGCAGAGTTGCGGCCTTGGATAAGAGCAGAGTTCTGGCGGGGGGCCGGGGGGGGGGGGGGGGGCATGTGTCAAGATACTGTGGGTGGACGAAATCCTGCACCACTTTGAAACCATGGGAAACCATTGTTGGTTGGTATTTACATAGAAATCTTCATCCCACGTCCGTCCACAGTAGGGCGCACTGGTGGTTTGCCTCCCTTTTGGCCTCAAGGTGAGAAGCTAGTCTCAAAAACGCACACGCCCATTGTTGTTTTTTGCAAGAAGGAGGTCAAGGAGATATCAAGTTACATTTTTGTCCTGGCCCGCAGGCCCCAGGGGTGGGCCCGCGGTAGGTGGCCCACTTGCTGATTTCATGTGGGGTTTGTGCAAGCTATAGCTTCGTGCGAGAGTCGCCACAAAAAACTTGCGGATCAGCAGCAATGATCTCCGCCTTGTTGTACCCGCATAGCACCATTTAAAGCCGGGCGGATTGGTTGATTTTCATTTGTTAGCCGTTGGTAGAACCAAAAGCTAATGGGTTTAGGTTGCTCATCTGAGCCAGCAAGAATCAGCAAGCTCAAACACTTGGCAGTTTGCAAGTGTTTGAGCCATAAAGCATGGTAAAGTGCATCAACATCATTGGCCGCAATTTGTAACAGTTAGGGTGCCCACTGTAAGGTGCTGGGCGTGCTTGGGTTCCGTACATAGAGCGAACTGGCATTTTCCAATACATGATCACATCACCTCTCCACCTGTAGGATCTAAGAGTACGAAGAGATCACTAAAAAGAGCCAAGGGGGGAAGACCGAGTGAAATCCGCAAAATGCACCTCCAAGCTGTTTTCCAGGAGTTTCCGGTCGGCTTACTTGCAATCCTTTGGACGTCGCTGAGGCGTGCGGCGGCCGCCGCGTCGCCGGAGAGAAACGAGGAGGTGGGAGTTGGTTCAGGTGGTTCAGCCTTTTGCCTGGTGCGAGAGATGCAGGGAAGGGGAAACAGAATGACCCTTAGAAACCATCTCTTGTACTTTCCTTTGAGGGGACCCCCAGGTTCATGCCCTCATTCCCCACTGCGCACCAGCAAGTTTTGGTTTCCCCTCATTCGAAAAAGGGCCTCCTGATTCAGTGGTTGCTTGAAGTTGCTTGTGTTTCCCCCAAGGAGGTTTGCTGGGGATGATCCTTGAGTCATGTGGGCCACCTGACCAGATGGATTTGTCCAAGCAAATCCCAAGTTGTTTTCTTTGAACATCCGATGGGGTGCTCCCATTATTGGACCCTCCGAAAAGTCCCTCTGGCTTCTTGATTTAGCCCACTTCAAAGCTTCGAGCTCAGGACAGCCGGGCGAGCGCGGCGCGCGCAGCTTGCCAGGCTGTTCCTGGGTTGTGTTCCCTTGGGGGGTCCATTCCGAGAGTCTTGGGGTGCGGTCTTCAAGGCTTCGTAGGGTTCCAACATGTGCGCCTTCCGTGCCGTGCAGTGACGCAGACTCACAGGCGGCATGGAAGCATAGGCACATGCATGAGAAGGTGTGTTCCGAGCCAGTGCTGCGCGGGGGCCTACGCCAGATGAGTAAACTGGTCAATATGAGGGTGTTCCCCTGCCAATGGCATGATTCCACACTAAACCCGGGGACACCCCCCTAATTGTGAATTAAATGGGGTTGATCAATTAAGCCGGGGTTATATTTTTTGGTGATGGCAGGAGAGCAGCGGGAGCAGCCGCAGCCCCAGCCGCAGCAAGCGTCGCAGAAGCTGCAGCCGCAGCCGCAGCCGCAGCCGCAGCAAAAAACGCTGCGACCGCAGCCGCAGTCGCAGCCGAGATGTGTGCGGTGCTGAGTGGGTGGTCTTTACTTCATGGCTTGGTAACTGATCTCTGGCCTTCAACTCTTGGTTGAAACAGCTTGTTTTTTCCGAATTGGGCACAAAAAGTGAATTACCGTTTGGGCAAGTATGCAGTGAGTTGCTTTCTTCGATGCTTTTTCTTTTGGGCAGGGTAGTGTTCCTTACAACCCGCTTAGCCCGGGGCAAATGATTGAGCCTCCCGCCAAAGTGCAGAGGCAACTTTTTGGAAGCCTTCTTTCCTAGAGAGGGCTATTTCCCTTCAACCCCCCATGAAAAAGGAGATTCGATGTCGCAATTTGTTTGAACCCACTGAGGGGGGCGTTCCTGTCACACCACGGTGAGGCGTGTCTGGTTTGGGTGCGGGGTGCGGAGTGGGGCACGGGGTTGGGGTTCTGCTGACTTGAGGCGCGAGAGCCTTCGACCCGGCGCTCAGGTGGTTCACTCAGCCAGCATGCGGGGAGGACAAAATCCAATGGCACACCCAGGTTCTTTCCACTGCCGTGACGGTCTCGCCTGTGTTGCATCAGCAGAAATGGGCAAGAAAATCTCCTCCCGGTTCCCCAAATGGCAAAACGGTTTTCCCTTGTGGTTTTCTCAACCAGCCACCAAAGAGGGGGCGCCCTCCCAAAACATGGCATGCAAAGAAGCCCTGCGGTGGATGGCCGACCTCCCTTTCGCACTTTTGGGAAACCATGAAGCCCGGACACCCTCGTCACCCGCCTTTCGTGGGGGAAACGGGAAAAAGCGCGGCGCGCGGGGTGGGATTTTTTTTTTCCGGTTTTGGGCGGGGCTGAGGTGAGCCTTACGGACCTGAAGCAGGCGGCGGCCCTGAACGGCTCGCCCAGCGCTCAAAGTTCCGCGCCCGCGCGAAACGAGCGAGGCGCCGAAGCCAAAGCCGCGGGGGCGGGGTGGAAATTTTCGCGCCGGCCATGGCGCAAAATTTCTGGTGGGTTTGCGTTAAGACACAGATTCAGCAAATGCCGAATGGGTTTCAACCGTGCTTGGACGCCCTTATGATTCGAGTCTGGAAATGCCAAACGACGGTTTCAAGCATGGGTTGCAGTGGTGCCTAAGAGGATTTCGCAACCATCCACAGTGTGGGACCCCGTTCGGAAGTTCTGGGTGCGGCCTCTCCGCCTGGTTTCCCGATAAAAAACCACAGAAATCGCTTGCACCCGCGTTGCGGCAGAGAGAGAGAGAGAGAGAGAAACGGACAGGCGTGTAGCATCCGCAAGGACCCATTTTTTAGAACCCATTTAGGATCACCCAATCCCAAAAAGGGAATTGGAAACGAAAGCGCGCATTTTTGGGGTTCCCCTAGTTGAATGCAAACCCAGATGGGCTGCAAAAGGTTTTTGACCGGGTTCAGAACGCATTCGGAGCAAAAAATGAAATGCTTCGGATCGGAGCCTCACGAGAAAAGCCAACCGAGTCGAGGCGTGGAGTGCTGGAGCGCTTCGACGCGGCCTCCGGGCGCTGGGAGGCGATTGATCCGCTGCGGGGCGAGGGCTCGGTGCCCCCGTTTTTCCTACTTTGAGACAAGCCCATGGTTGCCTCCAGTGTTCGGTGCCCGAGTGGTTCAGGTGAAGTTGCTGGCGACGGGGGACGTCAAGGCCCTTCGCCCGGAGAACTTGTTGCTGGAGGCCGAGCCCGAGACCTCCGCCGGCGATGGCATCAGCAGCCCTCAGCCGGACATTGCGCCCAGGCGATTCGGGGGGAGGGGGGGGAGTGGGGTGGGGTTGGGGTGGGGTATGGCAGACACTTCGAGTCCCTTTTTGCTTGGGGTGTGGTTGTGCTTTTTGGTTCACATCACTGTTGGGGAGAAGCATCCGTTGAGTTCCTTTCAGGGTTCTTTGCAAAATATACCGGGGGTTCCGGATCTGTAGGAGTGATTTTTGCTTGACCCGAACTGGCGCACATCAGATTTTGATGTTCATGTCCACCAAACCACTTCTGAGTTGGTTCCAACGGTTCCAACTCCAAAATTTCATCCTGCTGACGCTCAGTTTGTTGGGAATGAGAAGCTGTTGGGGATCCCCCTGGAAAAAAGAGAAAAGAAACAAAAACAACTCGGATGGATGCTTTTTTTGGTCCTCAAAAAACATTCCTTGCCTCTTCCCTACCCGAGCCAAGTGGCCATAGGGTTCTGGTCCGTCGGGGCTGCATTTGGGGCAGGGCATTTTCCTCACAGGTCGCCCCCGCCAGCGCCGGCCACGCCCTGAGCGGTTCCCCTTCTTTTTGTTAAAGCAATACATGGGTCACAGTTTTCTACAGCCCCAGAAAACAAGAACAACAAAAAACACACAAGCAGGTTGTAGTCCATGTTTCCATTTGCCAGGGAAACCATTTTGGGGTTACCCTGTTTTTGACGTCTTGTAGGTGCAAATGCCACCATGTGTTTCAACCAAGTCGTCCACGTGTAAGCTACGGTGTATGACCTCTAAACCAATGGTAAGTTGCGTTTGATTACATCCCCCCCTTCAAAATGGGATTGGGGGAGGGGAGCACCCTGGAATTCCATTCATGGTTCCATTTCCGTTGTATGGGGAAGTAGATCAATGGAATTGCCCTCCTACCCCTTACGGTAGGGGGATTCCCTTACCTCATGGCTTTTGTGGATACCTGTAGAATATAAAACAAGTACTACAAGATTACTAAGAAAGGACCAAGAGGGGGAACAGTTGAAATCCACACAAGGCGCCTCTCCAAAAGCGTTTTCAAGAGGTTTGTAGTGGGCGCACCCCAAGCCGCTTTCTAGAAATATTACCACCAAAAAGAGATGAGAGGCGTCCATTGCAACAACGTGCGCCGCTGGAGCCCAACTTCCAATTCTGCTGGAGGCCTTGACCGGGCGAGCCGGCGCCCGCTCCACCGGAGCCAAGGACTCGATGAGCGAATCAGTTTCGGTGAGGGAGGGGAGGGGTGCCGGCCGCAAGTGGCTGTGGGTCAAAATGGTACCATTCTGGGGTCGGTGCACCACCCATTTTAGAACCTGTTTTAGTGGGGATTGGGATGTTCACTGGGGCTACGGGATTTCATGGCCAAGTGGACGGGTGGCTGACCTTTGCTTTTTCCAACGGAAGCCGCCCGCCTCAAGCCGCGCGGAACGAAGGCAGTTTGGGTGAGGCTCTTTCAAAATATACGCCACGGACAGCCTTTGGGTGGGTGGGTCGGCGGCGTGTGCGTCCCAGGCCCCACCCCCTCCCGCCAAGCCCGCGCGGCGCCGGGACCCGAGACGAGAAGCGAGCGGCGCAGGGGCCGAGTTGTGCGGAGTCTGGGCCGAGGCACGGGAATCATCCGATGGTACAACGGGCGCCGGAGGCGGGGGCTCCGGGCTTGTTTTGGACTCCCTCATTTGTTTTGGAGACGCCATGGGTCTGAGGGGGGGGGAGATCTCTTTTTCATTGCTGACCGCCTCCGGAAATGAAATGTGTGGCATGCCGTATGAAGTATGAAGTGAACAACGCTGCGGTCGTAGTCGAAGTGCGGTGGCTCGGTTGGGGCCTACGCCACTATTTAGCGTCCTTTGTCAGAACCAGGCCTCAAAGAAGGTTTGTGTTGAAAGGATGCCGCTGAATAGGGCAATCTTCCTGGTTGAATTGGAATTACGCTAAACATTTGGTCCTGGGTTACGCAGGGGTTTTGGGCGCTCATGTGCTCCCTTTGAATGCTAGCAATGTTGTTACGCCTGTGGATTGGCACACCCTCGCATGTCGGGCTGAACGACTGGCTTCTGGCAGTTTACGGTCTCCCTACGTGTTGGGAAGAGTAAGCAAACAACACTTGGGACTTTTGGGGGCTAACTACGCGTAGGAAGTGGAAAGAAGTGCTGGGGGAGCAGGAATGGTCATTGAAAGTCTTTATGCCCCGCGGTGAGATTGCGAAGATATGAGGAAAACAGCAAAATCATCGGGGGAGAGCCAATTCACTTCCGCCAGGCTTGGCGCTGTCATCCCAGATGAAGCCGTGCCGGGAGCCGGGGCCCCCATCCCTGCTTTGTTTACATGAAGCCCGCGAGAGCCCAAAGAGAGCCCAAAGATCGCCGGACTTGGTTTTCTTCTCTCTTTTTTTTTTTTTCTTTTTTGGCGGGTTGCCATGCGAAGTAAACTCGTCAAAGGGGGTCTCCTCTCCCCTGAATGGAGGTTTCTCCAGAATTGGCTGGCTCTCCTTCAGGGCCAGGCCGCACAAGGTATAGGCTGCGTCCAAAGGAGTCAAGCGGCCATCCTGCCCAAAGAAATGGCGGGGCCGATGGGGCCGATTTTGTTTCCATAGCCGCTCAGCTTGAGCAAGCCCTGGCCTTGGTCATTTGCCGCTCCGTTTGGACACAGGTGTGAAGATCATGTTTGCCGGTAGAAAAGAACGGAGGGATCCGCTTTCTCCGAAAGCGTCAGACCCAGCCACAAGTAGATAGCCCTCCCAGAACCATTAACTTCCACCGCTAGCAGTGGATCTCAGCTAAGCACATGCCTTCGCATGGAGGGGTTGCTACACCATGAGGCGATGTCTGGATGAGTCGACTCGTCCAAAAACCGAGGCGCCGGACTTGTTCATCCCGGCCCAAGGGGCGCCCAACGGCTCGCAGGTGCCACCACAGCCTGGGGCCCCAAAGCAGCGGAGCAGCGGTCGCCGTGGGTTTGATTGGCTGTGGGCCCTCCCTTCTCAGGTTCCTTTTCTTTTTGGGACCTGCAAAAGTAGCGATGGTTTCAGTGGACTTCACAAAGTAAGTTGCAACTTTTGGTGGGGGAATCTAGTGAGCCCTGGAGCTTTGGCTTGACAATTGGCTTTTCCATGAAACCAGGGCCCAAAAGCTCAAGGGACCAAGCGCCTACCCCTAACGTCATTGGTCAGAAAAGCACCGCCCACCCCTCCCCCCAGGTTTTCCAGTTTCAGGACTATGCCCTGATCCTCGCACGTTGTGGCGTTGCGCCAGTGAGTTGAGATGCAAGAAAGCTTTTTCCAAGGTGTCAGTTGTTCTCTGGGTGCTGGGACAGGATTCAGCCTGTGGCAAAGTAGCTGTTGCTCTGACCAAGGCCCCCAAGAGAAGAAAGGTCCATCAGGCCCCAGAAGTGGAGAAAAACCTTGGCAGGCCGGGCGGTCTCTTCCATGGGACCAGGGCGCGGGGTCTCAGATGGAATAGTGCCCGGAACTCAAGATTTTGAGACGAACAACCCATATGTGTTGCCTGCCCCAGTTTTGACACATACTCTTTCTTTTTTTTTGGGAGGGTGCAAATTCATTTGGGGGCGCAGCATCAATGCCAACACATTTTGTTTCCCAAACCGCAGCGGTATAGGCCACTTTAGCCTACTACTTGGCTTCATGTACTTTGAAAACAACGTGTTGGAAGAGAGCCCTTTCTAAGTAGCAATTGCTTCGTCACTTATTTCGCGCTTCAAGAAAAGCCCTCGTCGGCCTTTTTGGGATGACGCCCCTTCAAAATAGCCCGACATATGGGGGCTTCTCCGAAGTGCTTCGAGCCACCCGCAGACATGGTACTGCTTAAATCACGCACACACACAAGTTGGAGGTCCGAAGACCCGTTCCCAAATAGCCACAAAGAGAAGGGAATGTCACCCCGCTTTCTGGGATTCCAGGCCGACCAAATGCGGGTGAGCCTTTTGGACAATTCCTGGGTCTCCTGGTGTCTTCTGGAGGATTTATTTTCCGAATTGGACCCACAAAGAGTTTAGCACTTTTGGGGAGACAGTGGGTTTTCCCACCGGTCACCCACAAACAGTTCTTAGTCTTTGTTTGGTTTCTTCAGAGGGGGCGGGTGGGGTGGGGGGCGCCAGCGGCAACTCCGCTTCCGCCGGCGGAGACGGACTCGTCCGCCGGGGAACTTCGAGGTGAGCTTCCTGCCGATGGCCATCAAGGCGGACGCCGGGGCCTCACAGTCCGTGGCCGGCGGTTTGAAGGTGGTTTGGTTGGAAGGGCTGGGCTTTGGGATGCCTTGGTGTCCTTCTGATCGGTGAGTTTGCTCAGAAGTTTGTTACACTTTCCACTGGCAGGCGGGTGGGTTTTAGTTCATAGGGCCATCTATTTTACCAAAGGGACACCTACGTTTGGGATGGTTTGGCGGTGGGCTGGAAGGGAGGTGTTTCCCTTTGCCAAAGGAGAGGTAGCCTCAGAAAGAGAGCCTTTTTTTTTTGGGTGTGGGGAGGGGTTGATGAAAACTAGTCGTTGGTTGGTTCGAGTCGTTTCAGCTTTTGTTTTGCATGGCTCGATGGTTTCATGGTATTGGTTTGTTGGTGTTCTTTACCAGCTCCGCGGCGGAGGTCGCCTCTGGCAAGAAGGCGGAGGTTGTGGCAGGCTCAGAGTGGTGAGAGGTGGGTGGTGGGCATGACTCCGGGCCGTTTTATGATGCCAAGAAAAAGGGTCCAAATCTTTAAAAAAACACGTGCAGAAAGAGAAAGGAAGCAACCTGGGGCCGAACTTTGAGCCCTGATGAATTGACATTTACTTCCAGTCAGTGGAAGGGTGTTCTGCTGACTTGTCCTTGCTGAGGGGAACGGAGCTAACAGATTGGCATGTCGTAATATAAATTGAGCACAAGGCAAATACTCACTCACTCCCCGAGTTCCTGGATTTAATAATCTTTTTGGGAATGTTATTTAGTGACACACGAAAAGTTCAGACTTCTTGTGGCCCATCCACTCCGGAAGTGTGTTTAACAGAGAGCAGAGGTTCTTTTCTTGAGAATGCTTGGGCTCAGGTTTGCATGGATGCCGGGAGCTGAGTTGGATCCAGTGGCTGTCAAGGCAATTTGAGTCACACTCAAAACCGGGGTAAGTGAAGGTTAAGGGACAATCCCAACCATAAATAGCTGCGGGATATCCGCCTTCATAATTATTGAAGCATGGTTCTGGGATTACGACCACTTGAATACCGGGTTTCGGTTATAACTCATTTGGCTGTGGGTCAAAACCAACAGTACTATTCTTGAGTAGGTGAATTCACCACCCATTTTAGAACCTATTTTAGTGGTTGGATTGAATCGGATGTTCACTGGGCTACGGGCTTCGGGTTTTGAAAATCCCATGGCCATTTGATCTCGCTGTTGGTAAGCCCCTTGTGGCTGGTGGATCCTTGCTACTGGAGGTGCGGCCGCTGGCGGGCCAAAAGGGCCTGACCTGTGGGGTGGACACCAACGCAGGGGCGAAGGACGGGGAAAATCCGGGGGGGGGGGGGGGGGATGGCAAAGCCGACCTAAAACCAAACCAAAAGGGTAAGTGGGTGGGTGGATAAGTGGGTAAGTGGGTGTGTGAGTTGTTTTTTGGTCCATTTTTTTTCTGGCGTTTTTTGTTCTTCTTTCTTTTTTCCCCGTCAAGTGAAGGGCTAATAGAACGATGGTGAAACTTGAAATGAACAGCAAGCACACTCTAAGGCTCTGCTTCCCCCATTTTTCCCCATGTTCAATTCTGGCCCAACACAGATAAAAGGCAACAACAGCAGCGACACAAAATGAACTAACACAGCAGAATGACCGTAAGTGTGAGAGAGAACGATGGTATGTACGAGAAGTCGAATTTATGCGAGAGAACAACCGTATGTGGCCCGTGCAGCAAATTCACCGCTAGACCGCCCAAAATCCTGGCCGGGGGACTCTCTCTCTGCCGTTGCGTCCAGAGGGTCTTGACTCAGCAAGGCAACGAAAAAGCTGCCCACTGATATTCAGGGGCATGCTTGGGAATCGTTCTCTTCAATTTGGAGGACCGGAAAAAACTGACGCATGAACGAGCGGGATTTTACATGTTCTCTCGCACACGGATCGCCGCCCTTGCAATCTGGGAGATGCCCGCAATGGGGGAAGTACAGCTAGAGAAAGCCCGGCCTTGGTGATGGGGCCGGGCTTTGGCAGAGGTCCTTTGTTTCGTCTCTTTTTGGATGGATCCCAGGATGGTTGATGGCCAACAGATGCGCCCCTCAATTTGGCGTTGGCCGCCTTTCAGGCGGCAGTTTGGTTGCCTCGTTGCCCTTCCGGTGGCCGACTGTTTGGGTTTGAACGCGCAGACGCCCTTCTTCCCGGCTTTCTGCAGCGCAGCGGGCTCCGCCCGCCGCTTCCCGAAATCCGAGCGCGTCGTGAGCATAGGTGTCCTGTTTTGGTTGTTTTGGCTCAAGGAAAAGAGAGAGAGAGAGAGAGAGAGAGAGAGAGAGAGAGAGAGAGAGGAAAACAAAAACGAAGGCCCTGGTTTACCGGGTGGTTTCTTCCCATCTACCAGGGGAACCTCTCCATCTATTTTCCAAAACGGTCTTGGGCTTTTCCGCCCAAAAGGCGCCTCCGAGCCCCCGCAACTCGGCCTTCCGGGCCTCGGGGGCCCGGATCGCAGCGCGCGAGGAGCGGAACGACGACCGCCTGGCGGCGCAGGACCTGCACGAGCTGGGCTTCCTGGCGGGGATCTTCGACGGCCACCGAGGCCAGGTGCGGCCGGCGAGGAAGGACGCGAAGGGGGCGGCGGGGGAAAGCTGGTGACGGCTGGGGAAAAGGGGGGGAAGGTGCTGGCGAGGGAATGGCTGGGGGGTTGGGGGGTTGGGGGAAAAGGGGGGGGAGAACTTAAAAAGAACGGAAGGGGAAAAGATCTTGAGGGAAGGGGGGGAAAAGAGTTTAGGGGGAAAAGGGGGGAAGATCTTGGGGGGGGGGGGGTGAGGCGTAATGTTGGCGGCCCCTGCTAAGAAACTATAAGACTAGAAGAAACCAGACTGGTATGCCACATGGGCGAGGCTCTTGTTAATTCAGGATGCCCTAGAGCATGTTCATTCATGCAGTAAGGGGGAAGAGCAGAAGAAAAGGTTTGCCAGACCACCCCGTCTCAGGCTTTCCATTTGTTCAATGCAAAGGAAAAGAAAAGTCTACCCATTTCCGGGTGGACACGGTCTTTTTTTTGCCACCCTTTAAGCCAATGAGTAGCCCCGGTCATCAACTGTTCTCATGGGCCAATGTGGTGTGCCTTTTCAGGAATTCGATGAAAACAGAAATCCATTTTGGCAGCGTCCGCGTCCACCCTCATGGACCCATGTGTCCGCGTTAGGTGGGTCCTGTGCTGAGTTCGCTGCCCGGGCCTCGGCCTTTTTTGTCTCCTGCGGGAGGGGAGGGCAGCTGGGGGGGGGGTGGTTCTGGGGTTCAAGAAGAAAAGCGGGGAAAACAACTTCAGGCACACGATTGAACATTGCCCCTTGAAAGTGCTTGTTGATTTGTTTTTTCTCTGGGGGGGTGGGGGGGCCCTGCGAAATGTCCACGCTTGCCGCTGAATATTGACCGCCTTAGGATGCCTTCACGATTGGGGGCCAAGCTTCGATATGTACATAATCATGTGATGGTTGTCCAAAAAGCGGATGTTCTATTTGGACCCTATTGTGCTCCCCTTCGATCAAAAAAAAGGACCTTTGTGCATAGGGTATGATACAAATGCCCAGAATTGGCTTTGGCGGGGTTACTTCGAATCCAACAGAAACGCGCGAGATCATGCAGCCCACATTTGTGAGGGGCGGGTAGTCGAGAGCCCTAGGCTCCCTTGACTTTTCTAGGGTTCGGAGCCTTCGGCCACCTGCCTCCCCCTTCCCCCTCCTCCCCTTCTCCCCCTTAAAGACTCCATACTGTGGATGGACAAAATCCTGCACCACTTTGAAACCAGACAAAACCATTGTTTGTTGCTATTTACAGGGTGAATCATCAGAAATTCCAGGGTTTCTTATGTGGTGCGAAGTGGATTTCGTAACCATCCACTTTTTCCCCAAATCCCTGTGACAAAGTGAAGCTTTGCAACATCCAAAAGTGCCGCCAATGCCAACATCAAACCAAAAGAAAAGTTCTTTTTGAGAGTTCTGGACAAATAAGCGTGGGGCATCTGGCCCGGGGACTTCCGCCAGACCGGCAGACCGCCCCAGGCGAAGCAGGTCCCGCCCAGCATCCTCTCAGCGTACCGCGCCCGCGCGAAGCGCCCCTTGGCCGGT